AAAACTCACATGGAATCTCAAGGAACCCTGAACAGCCAAAACAATATAGAAAAAGAACAAAGCTGAAGGACTCATGTTTCCCTATTTCAACACTTACGACAAAGCTCCAGTAACGATAGCAAAGTAATACTGGCATAAAGACTGACATACAGATCAATGGAATAGAATAGAGAACCCAGAAATAAACCCATGCATATATGATCAAATGACTTTTTTTTTATTTTAAAATATTTTACTCAACAGTTAATACTGATAATAGAAAATAAAACCCCTTGTCAGAATAGTGATTTTAGTTTTCACATCCATAATTATTCAATGGTCAAATGATTTCGAAATGGTGTCAGTACCACACGATGAGGAAGGAAAACATCTCAACAAATGCTGCTGGGAAAACTCAATACCCACAACAAGAATGAAATGCAGTTGGATCCTTACCTAATATCATACGTAAAAACAAACTCTAAAATCTTAGCAAGGTTTTCTGTAGCTATCCACAAGCTCTTTTATAGTTAACATGGAAAGGCGGAGGGAAAAAAATTAGCCAAAACAATTCTGAAGAACAAAGACAAAGTACCCGCAGTAGCCCATTTTAAGATTTCCTGTAAACTCAAGACAGTGTGATGCTGGTGAAAGATCAGACACAAGATGAATGAGACAGCAAGCAGAGCCGAGAAATAGACCCATACAAACCTTGTCTCCTGTTTTTTGTTGTTTTTTTTTTAAACAAAGACATAAAAGCAATTCAATGTATAGAGGAAAATCTTTTCAACAAATGGTGCAGGAACACTTGCACATCCATAGACATAAAAAATAAACCTCAGGGGCACCTGAGTGGCTCAGCTGGTTAAGAGTCTGCCTTTGGGGGCGCCTGGGTGGCTCAGTGGGTTAAAGCCTCTGCCTTTGGCTCAGGTCATGATCCCAGGGTCCTGGGGTCGAGCCCTGTGTCGGGCTCTCCGCTCAGCAGGGAGCCTGCTTCCTCCTCTCTCTCTCTCTGCCTGCCTCTTTGCCTACCTGTGATCTCTGTCAAATAAAATAAATTTAAAAATCTTAAAAAAAAAAAAAAAAAGAGTCTGCCTTTGGCTCAGATCATGATCCCGGGGTCCTGGGATCGAGCTCCGCATCGGGCTCCTTGCTCAGTGGGGAGCCTGCTTCTGCCTCACCCTCTGCCCACCACTCCCCCTACTTGTGCTCGCTCCCTGTCAAATAAATGAATGAAATCATTTTTTAAAATTTTTTAAAAGTAAACCTCAACACATAACCCAACCCTATACAAAATTTAACTAAAAATGGATCATAGACTTAAATGTAAAAGCTAAAACTATAAAAGTCTAGAGAAATACAAGAGAAAATTTGTGTACTTTGGTTTGGGTAGTAAGATTTTATTTTTATTTATTCATTTTGTTCAGCAGGCTTCACTCCCAATGTGGGGCTTAAATTCATGACCCAGAGATCAAGAGTTGCATGTTCTACCAACTGAGCCAAACAGGTGCCCAGGCAATGAGATTTCAGATATAAACTCAATCCATTCCAAAAAATAAAATTGAGAAAACAGAATTTATCAAAATCAAAATACTTGGTCTGTGAAAGTCGGTGTTACAAAAATGAAAAGACAAGCCAGAGACTGGGAGAAAACATTTACACATACTTTTCTGATGAAACACTTGAATCTCAAATAGGTAAAGAACTCTTAAAAATCAATGGCAAGAAAACAACCCAAGTAAAAACTGGGGAAAAGATCAGGCACAGAACAGATACTTCACCAAAGATATTCAGAGAGCAAAATATTAAAGATACTCAATAATACTAGGTATAGGGAAATGCAATTTAAAACCACAATGTAAAACCACTTCACACGTACGAGTATGACAAGTTTCACAGACCTGACAATACCAAGCCCTATCCAGGACAAGGAGCAATAGGAACCCTCATTCACTGCTGCTAAGAGCACAGTATCGCACAGCCACTTTGGCAGACAGTTTTTTACAAAGATAAATACACTGTTACCATACAACCCGGCAACCATGCTCCTAGGTATTTACCCAGCTGGTGGGAAAACTCATGTTTACATAAAAACCCATATGACCGAACACTGGGGAGGGTATGTGCTGTGGTGAGTGCTGTGACGTGTGTAAGCCTGATGACTCACAGACCTGTACCCCGGGGCAAATAATATATTCTATGTTAATAAAAATAATTTTTTAAATAATAAAATTTTAAAAACCCATAGATGAATGTTCACAGCATTTGTAATCACCAAAAACTGGAAGCATGTGGATATCAAGACTTACTATAAATAAAGACAGTGTGAGGCTGGCACAAGGCCAGAAAAGCAGACCGTGGAGAGCACGGTGGGATCGCTCGCGTCCAACGGCAACACAAGCAGCCAAGGGCACTGCCGGGAAGACCAGTTACCACGGAAACCAGCATCCAGAACCGAAAACCAGCAGAACAAGAAGAGGCCTGCAGAGGTCTAAGACTGATTAAACTCCTTTAACGATTCATAATACATATTCGAGAGTGAGAGAGAACATGGAGTAGAGGGAGGGGCGCAGGAAGGAGAGAGAATCTTAAGCAGCTTCCGTGCTGAGTGTGGAGCCTGACGCAGGGCTCAATCCCACCACCCTGAGATTGTGACCTGCGCCAAACCTGAGTCACTTAACCTGCTGAACCACCCGGGCACCCCTGATTAAACTGCTTTAACAAGGGAAGATTTTGCCACACACCACCAGACTCCTCAGATGCTGACTCGTTCATGTCCGAACGTATCAGAAAGGCAACCGCCTCCGCAGGCTCTGCCCAAGCGACCTCTGAGCGGAACAGCCTCTCCACAGCTTGAACACAGTCAGAAGCACGTGGCAAGAGCGACCAGACCGGACCATGTCCTCAGCCCAACTCATGGACACTCGTGGACAGACTTCGCATTTGGTTTGTTCAGCTCTTACCCCTTGCTACCTCTGTTTGTTGCGCGACTTTGTACGATGCTTTGCTCTGTGTGAAGTGTCTGAAGCCACATTAAGTGAAATAGCATTGAGTCTGAAATCCTGAACTGCTTCACGATTTTGTTAACCTTGTTTTGTAACTGAAGAAACCAGACACAGCTCATGTGCACCTTGTGCACACACACGTGCTGTGTGTCACAGCACGCTCGTGACACCGACCGAACGGAAGAAAGAGTAAGGAAACCACACCACACGCATGGACGCCTGACACATGACAAAGGCAGCACTGCTGGGCCAGAGGCAGAAACCAATCGCTTCACTGGAATCAGGACAGGTGGACAGCTCTGTGAAAAAAATAAATCTTGACTTCTACTCACACGAACATAAAAATTCATTCTAGATATATTATAAATCTCAGTGTGAAAGGTAAAATAATAACAAAGAAAAACATCTTCCTGAGCTTCAGGTAAGAAAAAAGCACTTAAATTGGACACAAAAAGCACAAGCAATAAAAAAAAATGTATAAATCAGAATAAATTAAAATGAGAAATATCTGTTCATCAAAAGAGCACTAACGGAATGAAAAGGGAAGCAAAACAAAAAAATATTGAACAAGAGTTAATGCTATTCATACTGAAATATTTAGATGAAGCAGGATGATATCTGAAATATATTAAGAAATGCACCAAAAATAAGATGGCTTAAAGGATGCAAAGAGAGACAGAGACAAAGGCAGATACTGTGATAGCGCAAGTACAGGAAAATGTCAATGGCAGATTCTGGGTGATGGGTACACAGAGGTCCACCAACATCCTTTCGACCTTGCCCTCTGTTTGAAAATTTCTGTAACACAGTATTAGAGGTAAAAGAAGCACCCCGAGTAAAATTTGAAAATGGATTTGGTATCAAGTAAGTTTTGAACTTTGATGTGCATGAATCACTGAATCCTGTGAAAATGAAAAGTCAATTATAACAGGATTGACGTGGGACATGGTATTCTGCATTTCTTTCTTTTTTTTTAAAGATTTTATTTATTTATTTGACAGACAGAGACACAGCGAGAGGGAACACAAGCAGGGGAATTGGGAGAGGGAGAAGCAGGCTTCCCGCAGAGCAGGGAGCCCGATGCGGGGCTGGATCCCAAGACCCTGGGATCATGACCTGAGCCATACCCAGCCGCTTACTGACTGAGCCACCCAGGTGCCCTGATATTCTGCATTTCTAACAAGCTTCCAGAACACAAAAAAATCCATGTAAACCAGTAAGAAAAAGACAGAAAAACCAAAGGCAACTAAATGTCAAATAAAAATCACAAAAGGTATTCATTCTCTTTAGCTAGCAGGAAATGCAAATTAAACCCATGAAGAGACACCACCACCATACCACCACAACAATGGCTCAAATGCAAAAGACTAACAATAGAAATTGTTGGCCACGAACTTAAAGCAAGCGGAACCCACAAATACTGCTCTCCTAGCATGAGTTGTAAATAGAAGAGGACGGGTATGTAATGAAACAAAGTGCTTACTGAGGAACAGAAACAGTAAACCGAGACAAACCTGCCACACCCGGGTGGCTCAGCAGGTTAAGTGTTTGCCTTTGGCTCAGCTCATGATCCCAGGGTCCTGGGACAGAGCCATGGAGCCTGCTTCTCCCTCTGCTGCTCCCCCTGCTTGTGTTCTCTTTCTCTCTCTCTGACAAATAAATAAAATCTTAAAAAAAAAAAAGATAGAGGTGTCACACCATTAACGTAAACTAAAAATGCATATATAGCAATAACAATACATATTTTGTGAACACATACAAACAAAAGAAATCCATGGAAAACAAAGTAATCTGGGGGGTGGGGGGGTTGAAATTGACTACGGGAAATCAGAAAATATGTAAATAAAGACAGATAAGGACCTTACACAGACCCGATGATAAACAGACTTCGAACTAAAAAGTGATTAACTTAGCCCTCTGATGTAAGGAACCCCACCTCTCCCCAACCAAAAAAAAAAAAAGAAAAAAGAGAGAGAGAACTAAAGAATAGCAGGAATAAACAAGCCAACAACTCACCCGAGACTGGGTGGTTTTTTGCTGCTCCTGGGAAATAAACAGCCACTCTAGAACCTGCTCTGTCCTGTGATTCTTGTGTCTTTGCCAGGGTCCTCCAGGGAGAGGCCGGTGGTCAGGGGTCTCTTGACCCAGGACGGCTTCCTGACCTTGCAGCTCTCCGGCTCTGAGGCATGAACTCTCTTGTTCCTGGAGAGGTGGGACCTGCGGGCACAAGAGCAAACTCATGTTAACGACCAGAACTCCCCTAGGCCCCAACCTCAGTCTCCTGTGCTGGAGAACACACTCGCAAGAGGCCGGGCTGGATGTTCTGCTCGCTGTGCTCACCCTCACTGTGGGGCGGACCCCAGTGCAGTGACGACAGTCCTTGCCCCACTTCTGCGCACAGGCACCCAGGAGCCCCGAAGTTGCAGCAGCCACCCTAGGAGTTGAACAACCGCAGGCGATCACTCAAATAGAGAGCGATGACGGCGCTTAGGCCGGGCGTATGCAAGCCACAGATTTCAAATGAGCCACACTGCGTTAGTCTCTTCCCTCGTTATTTAAATGCCCATCAACAAGTCACTTCCTCTCTCGCGTGGAGTCTTACTTTTTGCTGCGGCGAGAACACTGGCACAGGGTGGCATGAGGTAGCAGCGCAGTTTTTTATTCTTCCGAAAATTCCCAATGAATGCAGACAAGCCCAATCACAGTGGTGCAGGAAAAAGCCCAGAGACGTCCACACCAAACCAACACAGTCTAGGCGACAAAGTCTCCTCACAAACATCAAGATATAGGCAGAGGTGACCTCAGAGCACAGGACAGATCCCAGGAGAGAAGAGTGAACGATGAGGGAAGATTCTGATGGGCCACACACTGCAGATCCCCAAAGTCACCAATAATGTGTGCCCCCAATCGGAAGACAATCCCGAAGTCACTAAGTGACCTGATAGCACTATAGCCACCTAAGCACATGGGAATTTGAAAAATGATTTGCAAACAGTCCTTTCCAGACAAAGAGATCTTCGCTCTGAGGGAAAAGTGCTAAAAATCATGCCCAAATTGCTCAACACAGAAGATTAAGGTAGTGAGAGGAATGACAGAGAGACAGAGACAGAAGAGGGGAGGGGAGGAGAGGGGAGGGGACCGGAGAGGAAAGAAGCAAAGGGGGAAGGAGGGGAGAAGACAGGAGAAGTCCAAACAACTAGAGGGAAAAGACAGAGAAGGGAGAAAGGCTACCAGACAGTAAGAGGGAAGCATTCAGATCTTATTCCAGAAATTAACCACAAAATACGTAAATGTGAAAGAAATACATTAGAAGACAAGGCATGCTGAAGGAAGCAGAGGGCTAGAGGCCAAATAAAGGGCTTCCTGACAAGGCATAGCACTGAAGTATGAGTTTGTTTCTGTCTGCAAAAGAATCACTGAGAAGATGAAGTGGAACAGTAAAAATGGTGACTTCTGCAGGAGGGACAGAACGGGGCAGAAGGGGTGGAAGCAAGTCAGTTTCCACTTTTGAATCATGTATAAATATCTTACATAATCAAAAAGAGGGAGGGCGATCCCTAAAGCTGCAAGTAAGTGTCAACAAATATGTATTTATCAAACTGAAAACAAAACTACAAAAGAATAATTTTTCTAACTGATCTTTAGATAAAATGAGCTACCAAGACAGACTGAACTTCATTCAGCATCCTTGTTAGTAAAAACAAATTACAATTTTAAAACCATTCTATGGACATTGTAGGATATGACAGTTCTATTACCATTATTAAGAACAAAGATATCTGGATTTAACAGATACATTCATCACATCCCATCGTAAACAGCGATACACACTCTCTTCATATGCACATGGTACAGTCTCCCGAGCAGATCACACAGTCGGCCATAAAACAAATCTCAACAAACTCAGAAACACTGAAGTCATTCCAAGCATCTTTTCTGACCACAATGCTATGAAATTAAGAATCAACCAAGAAAAAAATTTGGAAAAAACACAAATACATAGAGGTTAAGTAACATATTACCAAACAAGGAATATGTCATCCAGGAAATCAAAGAGAAAATCAAGAAAACACATGTAGAAAAAAGGAAAATGAAAACACGGTAGTCCCAAAGGTCTGGAATGTTTTAAGAGGAACATTCATAGCATTACAGGCCCACCTCAAGAAACAAGAAAAATCTCAACTAACCAACCATACACCTAAAGGAACCAGAAAAAGAACAAACAAAACCCAAAACCAGGAGAAGGAAGGAAATAATAAAGATCAGCGCTGAAATAAATATAAGAGAAACTAAAACAAACAATGGAACGGACCAGTGAGACAAGGAGCTGGTTCTTTGAAAAGATCAACCAAATTGATGAACTTTTCACTAGACTCACCAAGAGCGACAGAGAGAGCGACAGAGAGAGACCTCAAATAAAATTAGAAAAGAAAGGAGAAATAATAAGTAATATTACAGAAATACAAAGGCTTATAAGAGAATACTATGATACGTGAATATGAACATTATGCAACAAACTGGACAACCTGGAAGAAATGGATAAAATCCTAGAGACGTACAACCTCCCAAAACTGAATCAGGAAGACACAGAGCATTTGAGCAGACTGATGACCGGCGATGACACTGAATCAGTGAGCAAAAAACTCCCAACGAACAGAAGTCACCTCACCAGCAGCCTCACGGGTTAAGTTCTACCAAACATTTGAAGGAGAGTTAATATCTGTTCTTCTCAAAGTATTCCAAAAAAGGGAAGAACGAAAACTTCCAAATTCATTCTATGAGGGCTGCATTACCCTGATCCCAAAACCAAATAAAGACACTACAAAATAACAGGAACTTGGGGCGCCTGGGTGGCTCAGTCTGTTAAGCATCTGTCTTTGGCTCAGGTCATGATCCCGGAGTCCTGGGATCAAGCCCCACGTCAGGCTCCCTGCTCAGAGGAAAGCCTGCTTCTCACTCTTTCACTCTGCCTGCCTGTGCTCTCTTTCTTCAAATAAATAAATAAAATCTTAAAAAACAAACAAACAAACAGGAACTACAGGCCAGTATCTCCGATGAATACAGATGCAAAAATTCTCAACAAAATATCGGCAAACCAAATCCAACAATACTCTAAAAACATCATTCACTACGATCAAGTGGGATTTATTCCTGGGTTGCAAGGGTGGTTCAATATTCACAAATCAATCATCAATCAACATGAAAGATCGCATCAACAACAGAAAGAATAAAAACCATATGATCATTTCCACAGATGCAGAAAAAGCATTTCACAGAGTATAACAGACATTCATGATTTAAAAAAAAAAAAATCACAAAGTAGATTTAGAGGGAACATACCTTAACATAAGAAAGCCATATTTGAAAAACCCATAGCTAACGTCATACTCAAAGGTGAGAGAGCGAGAGTTTTCCTCCTAATATCGGGCACACAACAAGGATGTCCACCTTCACTACTTGTATTTAAAGATTTTATTTATTTATTTGACAGAGATCACAAGCAGGCAGAGAGGCAGGCAGAGTGAGTGAGAGGAAGGGAAGTAGGCTCCCTGCTGAGCAGAGAGCCCGATGCGGGCTCAATCCCAGGACCCTGGGATCATGACCTGAGCCAAAGGCAGAGGCTTGACCCACTGAGCCCCCCAGGCGCCCTCACTACTTGTATTTAACACGGCACTCAAAGTCCCACCACAGCAATCAGGCAAGAAAATGGAGTAAGAGGATTCCAGACTGGTAAGGAAAAAGTAAAGCTTTCACTATTTGCAGACGCCATAATACCATGTAGAGAAATCCTAAAGCCCGCACCAAACACCACTGGAACTGATAAATGAATTCAGAGAGAAATCCACTGCATTTCTATACACTAATAATAAAGCAGCAGAAAGAGAAATTAGAAAAACAATCTATTTACAATTGTACCAAAAAGAATAAAACACCTGGGAATAAACTTAAAAAAGGAGGAGAAAGACTTGTACACTGTAAACTATAAAACGCTGATGAAAGAAACCGAAGACGACACAAATGAAAAAGTGTTCCACGCCCACGGACGGAAAGAACAGATGCGGTTAAAATGGCCACACGACCCGAAGCGATCTACAGATTTCATGCAATCCCAATCAACGTACCAACAGCATTTCTCCCAGACCGAGAACAAATAACCCTACAATTTGTACGGAACCACAAAAGGCTCCAAATAGCCGAACAGTCTTGAAAAAGAAAAACCAAGCTGGAAGTATCACAATTCCAGACTCACGTTCTACCACAAGCTGCAGCAATCCAAACGGTGTAGTGCCGGCCCCAAAACAGAACAGTCAACAGAAAAGGACTGTAGGCCGAAAACAAACCCAAGATTACATGCTCAATCAATCTCTGATAAAAGAGGCAAGAATATGCAATGGAGGGGCGCCTGGGGGGCTCAGTGGGTTAAAGCCTCTGCCTTCGGCTCAGGTCATGATCCCAGGGTCCTGGGATCGAGCCCTGCATCGGGATCTCTGCTCAGCAGGGAACCTACTTCCCTTCCTCTCACTGTCTCTGGCTTCCTCTCTGCCTACTTGTGATCTCTGTCAAATAAATAAAGAAAATCTTAAAAAAAAAAAAAAGAATATGCAATGGAAAAAGAAACTCTTTGACAAATGGTATTAGGAAGACTGGAGGGCAACATGCAGAAGAATGAAACTGAACCACTTTCTTACACCACACACAAAAATAAACGCAAAATGGATGAGCGATCTAAATGTGCACCTGAAACCTCAAAAATCCTAGAAGAGAACACAGGCAGTAATTTCTCTAATATCAGCCAGAGCAACACTTTTCTAATATGTCTATCGAAGCAAGAAAAACAAAAGCAAAAACATACTGCTGGGACGTCAGCTGAATAAAAAGCTTCTGCACAGTGAAGGAAACAGTCACAAAATAAAAGACAACCTGCGGAATGGGACAAGATATTTGCAAATGACATATCCAGTAAAGGGTTAGTACCCAAATATATAAGGAACTGATATAACTCAACACCCAAAAACAAATAATCCAATTAAAAAATGGGCAAAAGACATGAACAGACATTTTTCCAAAGACGACATGTGGATGGCCAACAGAGAGAGGAAAACATGTTCAACAGCGCTCGTCAGTAGGGAAATGAAAGTCAAAACCACAAGAGATCACCTAACACCTGTCCGAATGGCTAAAATCAACACAAGAAATAACAGGTGTCGGCAAGGATG